AGTGCAGAAGGAGGGGGAGGAGATGCTCCAGGCGCCGGAGCGAAGATTCCCCTGCAGCCCGTGGGGAAGACCATGGTGAGGCAGGTTGTCCCCCTGCAGTCCAGGGAGGTCCACGGAGGAGCAGATCTCCACCTGCAGCCCATGGAGGACCCCACGCCGGAGCAGGTGTGTGCCTTAAGGAGGCTGTGTCCCTGTGGGAAGCCCGTGCTGGAGCAGGCTCCTGGCAGGACCTGCGGATCTGTGGAGAGAGGAGCCCACGGAGCAGGTTTTCTGGCAGGACTTGTGACCCCGTGGGGGACCCACACTGGAGCACACTGCTCCAGAAGGACTGCACACCGTGGAAAGGACCCATGCTGGAGCAGTTCGTGAAGAACTGCAGCCCGTGGGAATGGCCCATGTTGGAGAAAGTTCGTGGAGGACTGTCTCCCGTGGGTGGGACCCCACGCTGGAGTAGGGGAAGAGTGTGATGAGCCCTAACCCTGAGGAGGTGAAGTGGCAGAAAATAACGTGTGATGACCGTAAACCCCATCCCTGTCCCCCTTGTGCCGCTGGGGGGGCTTGGTAGAGAAATCCGGGAATGAAGTTGGGCCCGGGAAGAAGGGAGGGGTGGAGGGAAGGTGTTCTGAGATTTCATTTTATTTCTCATTTACCTTACTCTGGTTGATTTGTAATAAATTGAGCTAATTTTCCCTAAGCTGAGTCTGTTTTGCCCGTGACGGTAATTAGTGAATGATCTCTCCTGTCCTTATCTCGACCCGCAAGCTTTTTGTTATATTTTTCTCTCCCCGGTCCAGCTGAGGAGGGGGAGTGATAGAACGGCTTTGGTGGGCACCTGGCGTCCAGCCAGGGTCAACCCATCACACCCATATACTAAATCCTAAGGGAAAACAGACTACGGTTTTTCTATTTCAGCAGCTTCCATTGTTCCTAGAGAAAGGTGTCTCCTTCCTCATATACTGTCCTGGATATATGCCCGGCTGCAGAAGCTAGAGGAATTTTCATGGGAAACCTGATTTTTTTCCTCCCAAACAGCTGTAAGAAGATGTAGGAAATGATGGCCCTGGGATACGAGAGAAAAAAAATCTCACTGTATTATGGGGCTGCAGAAGTAGTTTAGAATCTGGACAGCTCTGTAGGTATCAATCAAGTCATTCTCATTTAAGAACATTTAAAACATTGCCTTGTTTTCTCCTCCTCCTTTTTTGAGAGTGAAGGAGGAATTACCTTAGTTGTTAAGCTGAGAGATTCAAAGAGCTTTCAAATTTAGATGAACACTTTGATAATTTTTCAGAGAATCTTACTTGTAATTTTAAAAAAAATTAATTCATAATTCATCTTATATTCTCCAGTTATCACTCTCAACACTTCTTAATGAGTTGCCAAAACTAACTGTCAGCTTTTGCAATTTCTTTGGCATGTTATTTAATAACCTGTGTTTTACATCTAACTACATAGCTCATAATACATTTTCTTAACACAGTAATTATTTACAGCGTATATACAAATTAACACTGAAAACAATCACTTTGCTGAGTAACTTGTGACACTTGACACTGCCTAGAAATTAGGACAATCTCAAGAAAAGCAACCATAATACCTATGAAGCATGAAAGCTATGCCTTTTTCTGACATGTTCTTCATAGTAAGATACTATTTCCTAGAATACTTACGGCAGACTGCAAATTTCCACCCGCATAGACTTTCTACATAGGTAAAAGCAGAGTAAAACACAAACTCCCTGAAATACATCGCTAAACTCTACACATTTAAAGCACCCTGCATTTTAATCCAAATAAAGCTATCCTAAAATAACTGAATACAAACACAATAGTAAATTTGAGCTCTGCGCAATAAAATAACAATCAATTCCACTAACATATCGGAGAGAGAGGTATTTGATGTTCTAGAGGTTAAAACTGCATAGCCTGCAATGTTCATCAATCTTGCAAACTATTTTGCAGGACTCAAGCAATTAAAGTTTATGTTGTCTGTCCTGAGCTAATGGCATACACAATTTTTCTGAGTTTCACAGTGGAGACTAGGACTCTTGAATATTACACTTTATAGACATAGAAACATAAGACACTATTTTCCATACATTGTAAATTTCTACTGCAAATTTTAATTCACACAATTTAGCTTTCTGACACATCAGAATTTGATTCTGCAAGAAAAAAAGCTTAATTATAAACTCACTGAAAAAATTTTTTTCAAGACACACAATTTTCTGTATTTTAGAATTTGATCCCTTTTCTTGATTAATCATAATGACTACTCGAACAAACAACTGACAATTCTAAAACCTTAGCATAATATTTGTCATTGGAAATTTCCTCCAGAAAGCCAATGAATACTCTCTGGTTATAAACCATCTACCTAATCAAATAAAAGTCTAGTGTCTAGTTCTGGTATGATAAACCTTTAGAATTTAAACCTTTACAACCTGGTTTTAAAAGGCTGTCAACCATCACTTTTAAAGTACACTCTAAGGTCAAAGATATATAAAACATAAGCACCGTCAAAATGAAAGAAGAGTCTGCAGATCACATGCAGAGTCATAGAAGTTCAATGTAGATTTCCCAAGGACAGTATTATTTCTCATCCTTGTTAATTATAACAAATAAAGAAATGATGCAGTATAGTTTGGCCAGCTACCAGAACGATCTGTCAACAGAGATGAATCCTGACAAGCTAAAATACCATGATTCTAATCCCACTATGCTAAAATAATCAAACTTTTGCATCCTGTAAGACATTCATCATTCATAAGGCCTTGCTGGTTTCCTCTATTCTCAACCAGCTTATTAGCACTAACAAGTGTAAAGGAATACCTACAATGCAGCGGGGTATTTATCTGGGCAGAACCCTGCACAAGAACAATTACATCTTTCTAATACCTGAACTCTTTCAGATTTTATATATCTCTACAAACACATGAACATTCAGTATCCTCACAGTTTTATATTTATATAAATCCAGCAAGTCAGATTACACCTTTCTGCAACCTTAACTGCTTCATATAACTAAAGAACAGCTGCCTATGGCCAACATGATCAACCCCCAACATTTGCTGTGCACACATCTGAAGGCTGACTTTGGAATCCAAACTCCAGTCTTCTAATAAAGACTGAACGCACACAGCCAAGCAGTCGGGTCTACATTTTTGTATGCTTCCTAAGATTCTATGTATAATAAAGATGTATTCCTCAAATGTTTTCAAACTACAGACAATTTGTTAATATTTAATTTCCTATAAATGTTCCCACTCTGAATTTTAATTCTGCACGCTGGCCACAGCAATTAAAGTTACATGAAAACTAGCAGTATGAAACAAACAGCTAAAACTAACTCATTTTAACAGACTGAGATCATATTCTTGGTACAGTCCCGTCCCACCCCACAATTTCTGTTTCGCATTTATGCTATGCACTTGTCTCAAGATCCACTGCTAGAATGTGTGCTATACAGTCCTTTGTAGTCACTGCTAAAGAGCTGGTTGTACTTAAAAAGAAAGCCCCAAACAACCAAAAACAAACATACAAACTCAAAAGAAGCACTTGTCTGGATTTTTGTTGTCATTAAACTAGTAAAAAAACCCCTCGAAATTAACACAGGCTTATCTCTGTGTTTATTTTTCCTGACATACATTTATCTTTGAAGGCTTCTACGAGTCTTCTTATCCTACCAGATATCACAAATTTAAACATTAAATAGCTGCCTTCTGTGAATACTTCTTTTACAAATTCCATCCAATACTGCACTTACCTGTTTTCTAAGAGCATAAAGCTCTTCAAGTGGTTCCAGGCTTTTATTTTTGTCTCTCCTGAGATACAATCCATTGAGCTACAATATTCCTAATGACACTCGTTTCTAAAACTTACTTTCTAGTTGGCTACTCTGTGTTCTAGGTCGCCTCACATTATTAATTTATTTTCAATTCTCCAATTTTATTCTGGCTTCCTTCACTTCTGAAAAGTGTATCATGGTTTTCAGTTTTGAATTAATAATGTTTTAGACTATAACTACGGTGTAATGCACAAAGCATATAATGGGACAGTAATCAAATGTTAAACATCAGGAAATACATGTTTAAGTTATTTCAGGCAACCTATACAACAATCAATTAAAAAAATTACAAAGGCACCCTATTCATCAATTTCTACTCAGAATTACTTACTGCTTCTGCAAACACAGACCTTAGGCAAAACTACCTTAAACTCTGCCTATTGTTATTATGGCACAACTACCCTGTACTAACATCCAAAGATGTTTGCCTCTATTTTTTAGTAAGATAGTTCAGCTCTAGCCCCAAATGGCCCAAAGCTAAAGAGGCTCCCTACAAAACTTTAAACCAGGGCAGCCTACCAAGTAATTTAAAACACAATACATCTTCACCCTTGAAAATAAACCAGTTCTGAGTTGAAATAAACACTCTCCACTGAAGAGTGTGGGGTAGGAAAGCATGCCATCCTATCAATCCACGTAAAAAAGGAAATGTAGACACGACACAGACAAATCTAAGCGTAGACAGATCACACCCAGAGGTAAATCAAAGGAATCAAACCTTTCTTTTGAATAAAGTATATTAGAAAAAGCTAATTATTGCAAATCCTTGCATTGAATGTGCTTGGCTTTTTCTTTCCTAATTTCTTGTGAAATCTAGCTATCCCGTGCATCCATTCAGCATGCTGGGATATCACAATGCTTCCGATTCAGAGGAACAAGAGGCACTTACTGAACCAGTCCAAACTAAGTTCTGGCTAAGAATGAGCCTTCTAGCCCCCAACGATCTCACAGTCTGAACTAGGTCTTGAGAGATTTTTTCTGAAATACAAAAAAAAATTCCTAGGCCTCAGAAAATAAAATGCATTTGAATAAGTACTTCCTGTTTTCACAGGAAAAAGAAGGGGAGGAAAGCATATTTGCAAAAACATATGAGCTAATAATGTGTAAGACAGAGGCAAACGTAACGCACAAAAGTGAAATCAAGCCAGACATACCTGAGCTGTTGATAGGCGAAAAACAGGGCCAGTTGTGGGCACTGAAAGTCTAGGCGAAATGCTGGCAGGACCCTGTCCCTGTGTCTGTACTTGAGCCTGCATTTGAGCCTGTGCTAGAGCCTGCTGAGGCACCATTACAAGCTGTCCAGCATCCGTGCGCACCAAGACCATACCTAATGAGAACAAAGTAGCAATAACTAAACAATAATATGAAGAATAACATATAAAGAATACCTAACTACGGAACACAGAATAAAATTAATGTATAGCTCTGTACGTTTTTCTTTATACTGTATTTTTTTTTATTCTGGTGTAACATGAGATTTTGTTTCAAAGAAGAAAAGGAGCCCCTACTAGCAGACAAAAACTAACACCTAGTTCAATTTGGAATTCAAATAACTGCAGTTTATGGGTAACAGTGATGAAAAAAATGATCACTTGAGTGTATAGGCACACAGCCACTTTCAGCAGCCTAGCCAGGGTCAGCAGAATAAAATTAGAAAGAAATATTCATTAAAAGTAAACTATAACAACAATCCAGTAGCTAAGAACAGAATTCAGTATGAACATACCAGGGACAATGACATGAGAGCTTTACTAAAACAACAGCTTTAGGGGATGTGTACATGCAAACATTACGCCAGACACATTTCCGAGTATACAGTATTTGGGATTTAGTTAATCATCAAGCATTAACACATGAATTTATTTGGTACCCACCATCACTGTACTGGGAGGCACTACCTGTGGTTTAGACATTGTCAAATGCAGAGAACCAACACAACCGCTCCTCAGCACAAAACGATAAAAGTGCAGATATTTTAGGAAAACACCAAATTAATTGTTTTAAAATTAACAGAGTACTTGGCAAGTGTTTTCTAACACTTCCTGGAAGTAAGTGATAATATTTTTAGACTGTTTTCTAGTAACACATTTCGCAAATAGAGGCCTTCTACACAACAGAGCCAGTGCCATCAAGTTTTGCCGTAAGTTTTCCACAATCAGCAGGTCAGAAAAGGGGAGACAAGGGCTACGTTGGTCCCTGGATCACCTGGAGCTTCACACTTATTCAAGATCACTGCAAAGCATGTAATGTGCTTCCTCTAGCTCACTCAGAACTAAGAAGCTGCTGCCCAGCCAGATTATTTAAAAAGAAATTCCAAGTTAGTTCCAGAATACATTTTAATCATTTAAACTAGATAGGATATAATGGGTCTGTAAACAGAAAAACATCTTGCCTGCAACTACTGAAGAACCAAAAAATAAGAATCTAGGAAGTCACTTTTATTCTGCTGATAACAGAGTCAGTAGACGTTTTTTCTACAACTTACCTCTATGTGCAACTTGCTTCACATATATTTTTTAACATGTAAAGGGAAAATGAAGAAGGTAAAAGCATACATCCACTTCTAATTATTAACTTCCCAGAAAAAAAACCACACCTCAGTAAAGGGACATGGTTTGCAACATACCATGAGGATGAAGAAATCCGAACAGTATTATAGCAAGTAACAAATTTTAGAAGTAACCTATACCAGGAAAGTCTTTCTTTCAGTCTCTGACACAGAAACACAAATCCCAATCCTGGCATGAACATGTGAGTGAACATCAGCACCAATAAAAGCCCTCACTCACATAGTCTTAGGTGCTTCCAGCCAACCTTCACTGCTAAAAGCACAAACAGAAGGCAAATTTCTGCCACTACAAACTTAAGATTTGTGGAAATCAAGCTTTAAGGTAAAAGGCATAGAGAGTGACAGCAAGGACCACATCCAAAAGCCATGATCACAGGCCTCTTTCAAAGCCCAGAGAGTAATTTTTAAAAGAGAAGTTGAAAGAAACCCATAAAAACTCTTTTAAAATATATCTTTTAAGGTCCACTAGCCATTGAAGCACCAAACCTCACAGCTTGTATTTGTAGCAAGTTCTGTAAGCAGATGATGTATTTGGTATATGCCATTCTTAAACTATCTGGACACACAAATACTAGTACACTGCCAACAGGCTAAACAGGTGTCACTTCTCTGATTATGTTGTGAACCTTATGTAAAAATCCTCATAGGATAATGGCTACCACGCATTAAAAAATACACATTCTATTTGCGTTACACAGACTCACAGGTGTGTTATTAATTTATCTTCCAATTTTCTGAAACTAATTCTGAATTTAGAAGAATTTAATAGAAAGGACAAATTAATTGCAACACATGCCACACAACTTCATTAAAAGTTGCAGACATAATTGCTGCTAAATGTTCATGTATTAATGTTATGTTTTAATTCGGTTTGAAGGACTTGAAATTTCTTTTACTGAGCAGTATGTACATATTAGAATCTGGTTAAATTACGAGATTAATTTTTCCTTACTGTCAGCCACGTAAAGATGAAATACACAACTTATGAACGTTACATGCTAAAATAACCTACTCTCAAAACCTGATTCTAAATTTCTGCTTTAAACAGAAGTTTACAATACAGGAGTTTCAAAATTAATTATAAAGGATCTACCAATTTGAAGAGTATAAAGTCAAAAATAACATTGTATTTTCTGTATAACTTCACTTTAGAACATACTCTCTTCATGTTTATGCAAATTTAATGGATTTCAAACTACCTTGTAATAAAATCAAATTATAGCTTTCCACAGTATTATTTCCATAACATTTTCTACATCTTGGACCAGCTTGCTTTCAAGGGCTGTTTTGCCTCTTCTCTTTGAAAATTAAGTAGCAGAACAAAGTATTGACACAAGAAACTTCAGAAAGAGTATGCAAAGTTATGATACACATTATCACGTGTGTATAGTGATTATCAAACAGATTAACAACGGAAAATCAAAGGCTAAAGGTGCTAATATAGTCTGAATAGCAACCTCTTACCTGTTTCAAATTAGTTAGGGCTTCCTGAAACCACTGAGGTTTTTATGTTTGGAGCATTAGAACATGGAGCAGGACTTTCATGAACTATAGCCAAATACCCAGCTACTGGAAGTTCACTTAGAAGCAAGCTTCTACACCATCGGATTTTTGCTCCGCTTAGCCAATATCAAATATTGTAAGAAACACAGTGGAAGAAGTTATGTCAGACTACATCAACAGCTCCGCATATTATCATGCTATTAATAGCAAAAAATAAAAATCAGTTCAAACGTTAAATCATCTCCTAAATCAAGAAGGCACAAAGTCACCAACTTTTTGCAACATGGAAAGCCAAGGAGGGGACCACAGAACTCTTCAAAATTTCAGATAAAACAATACACAGTTAGAGTAGGAATCACTAGGATGAAGGGGATGCTGTTCTGGTTAGTTAGCAACCTTGCTGAACTTACATTTTTAGTAAATGGAAGTTAAGAAACTAAGAGGACGTAACGGTTACTTCAGAGTTAAAAGTAAAATCCAGTGATGTGAAGACTGCCCAGATGCAGTGGAGACTGACACCATCACACTCACCGAAATCACAAATTTTAGATTAAATTACACAAATTGGCCCGTATCTTGCCACCCGATTCACGGCAGAAGACACTCTTTGGAGAAGGAAAACTTTTCGAAACTATCAAGAGTACAGCAGAAAACAGAGTCCTTCGAAACGCGGATAAAATTACCCTTCGCTACCACCCCAGCTTTCTACCTCATGCGCAACTATACCACTACAAAACACCTTAGCGTGGCTGCCGCTCTCTCCCCAAGACAAACCCAGTAACTCGTCAACCAACACTCATAACTGCTTTGCATCAGCAACCGCCCGTCCCATACCAATTACATCCTCATTAACGGCAGCCCGTTTGTCCGACGTCGCTCTCAGACAGGTGGCTCTTCTTTTGTCTCCAGCACGTCCAGCAGCGGCACCGCGACAACTTTGGGACACCCCCCCCCACACACACACACAAAAAATCCCTCGGCCAAGAAGAAAGGGTTAGCAAGAGCGGCGAGCCCGCGACGGCTGCGTTCCACTTACCGGGCGGGATAGTGAAGCCGGGGGGCAGCTGGATGGTGGTCTGCTGAGGCGGCCTCACGATCAGCTGCGGGGCCACGATCCTGGGGGCAGCGCCCAGCGCCGGCCGGGGCGACAGGGCCTGGGGGGCCGCGGGGGC